TTGTATCAAGATAATAATGATTTGAAACCAGTAGGTAGATTTGCGATTATAAGTTAAATAATATAAAAGTTCAGTTGAAATGGACAGTGCACAAGTTTAACACACTTACCTTCTTCTTTAGCTCTTCCATCTGGTTCAGCATTATCTCGGTCTGCAATTTCATTAAAAAACAAAATGTAAAAAATAAGGATATTGATGTCCAATAATTAGGAATAAATTACAAGAAACAAATCAAGCCAACGTAAATTTGATCAACTAACATGCTATTGAAAGAAATGCATTCTATATACAAATTGCAAGGTACAAATTTGTTATTTTTGTCCATAACATGCTGTGAAATGAATTTTGGGCAATTTCAAGGAACAAAATTGTTATTTTTGTCCGTAACGTGGTCTAAAATTACAATAAGCCCATAGAAACTCCATCTGAAGGCTAACTAATAAGTGTATCTCCGAGGAAAAGTACACTTTTTGATGCATTAAGCAACAAATTAGGTGTAATAAATTTAACTCAATTATGTAATTTGGATATTATTATGAAGAACAATTAAAATTTAGATGAGGATATAACTTCGAAAGTAAAAACTAAGTGGTTAAAAAAAGATGTCTCAAAAGAATCATATTAAAAGAAATAGATTGAAAATTAGACAAGCTACATGACATGAATCCAAATGTTATGCAAATAAAAAATTTACTAACAAACAAATTGGAAAGAAAAAAGGACAAAATTCACAAGCAACGGAGGCAATGGAGGCAACGACGGAAAAGCCTAAACTATATTTGTTGCTCATCATATCTAGCATTTTTATCTACATTATCTAATTAAGCCTGCATATAGCACAAGATACATAATTATAAATTTAAAGATTTAACAAAAAGCAAAGATTTATATAATACAATTACAGATCACCTGATGGAATTACAAGAACAATTATCAAATATATTTCAATGGAACCAGATATTTTATGTGTACCACCTTACCTACGCATGAAAAGGTGTATTCACTTCTTAAAAGTTAAAAATAATCATATTTTTTATGTAATATGGAAGATTTGGATGGTATAAATGTAAAAAAG